TTGTGGGAAAACATCTACAGGGTAAATACAATGACTGAGGAATTGTGGGAAAACATCTACAGGATAAATACAATGACTGAGGAATTGTGGGAAAACATCTACAGGGTAAATACAATGACTGAGGAATTGTGGGAAAACATCTACAGGGTAAATACAATGACTGAGGAACTGTGGGAAAACATCTACAGGGTAAATACAATGACTGAGGAACTGTGGGAAAAACATCTAAAAACAATGTTATAATGCAAGTGTTATTACATGTTATTTTTACCAGGCAACTGAATACTTTTATAGACTGTTCTCAGTTTGTTTGGTTACTTGACATTTACCTCCAGATGCTGTAACACTATGTCCTGTAGACATAGCTTCTGTTCTTCCCTTGGATCGCTTACCCTTGGGTGTACCTGCTATGGAGTATACAGTAAACATGTTAACAAAACACTGCCATCAAAACTGTATTTGTGTGCATTCTTTTATTCTGACCTACACTTATTACTACAGACACAATATGGCAATGTACTAGGCTCACTGTAATATGATGTAACTTATCTTTAGAATTAAGTCAAATATTTTACTTTTGTATATTTTACTCTTATGACCAATAGTTGTCATGCCGAATGCGAGTGCCTAAACAAAGCTATGAAAGACTTACTGTCCAAAAGTCTCCAATTGAGTAGAGGATCGTACACAAATGCTTCCAGTACAGCCATCACACTATCTCTGTTCTCACGTAATACTGCCATCACGCTTTCACATGTAATGCGGAAATTACCATCGATACCAGTAACCTGACAAGTAAAATAAACAATTTACTAGACTAGAAGTATTTATTTCATTTGTAACCTATTAGACCAATTTTTTTGGAAAATTTTAGTTTTATTTTGACAAAATTCAGACAAATCAATACAAGTTAGAAACAGTCCAACTCAAACTGTGACAAGAGAACTTTGGTCTTGAAACTAGGATTAACAACACAGAAGACATGGACATACATTAGAGATACTACACGGCCTCATTGAATTTAAAAACTTAACAATTCCAAAATAATTAGTATACAGCTTGAATGCTGAGGCTTTACTAAAATGTTGGAAGAGTACACTCATGTTAACCCATAATTTGAAAAACAATCTCTATGATTTTTTGTTGAGTTTATTTGTGTACGCTTTTTTTCTATGAGTGGCAAAGTTCCAGGCTAGCAAGTGCTATGATGTACAGCCTCAGACATGTCTCTATCATGCATGTCAATTTAGAGAAGATCTACAAGACATAACTTCTGAGATTGAAATCTGGTTACAGGTTTTTGGTAAAGACATTTTTCATGATAGCACCCTCAGAAAGCTCAGTTTGGTGTCCATACCACAGTGGTACATCCTATTTTGGTGTCCATACCACAGTGGTACATCCTAGTTTGGTGTCCATAACACAGTGGTACACCCTAGTTTGGTGTCCATAACACAGTGATACATCCTATTTTGGTGTCCATACCACAGTGGTACATCCTATTTTGGTGTCCATACCACAGTGGTACATCCTATTTTGGTGTCCATACCACAGTGGTACATCCTATTTTGGTGTCCATACCACAGTGGTACATCCTAGTTTAGTGTCCATAACACAGTGGTACATCCTATTTGGTGTCCAT